CAGCAGGAACATGCAGGGGTTTCTGAAGCCTTTATGAAGGCCTTTAGAAGCCTCTTAATAATGCTTCTTTAGTCAACAAACAGGATGTATACCTTCACAGCAATATGAAGTGACTCTCCCCACATACCCTCTCAACATCCCGATGTTTCTCTAGTGCTCCAAACTGTTCTTGGTTTAAGGAGGGAGAAATAGGATTGGATTTCTATGAGATACATTGTGTATATAAATTGAAAAGAAAATACAAAATTGATAGCAAAAATTTCTGAATAGCTTTTCAGTGGTAGATTACTGCAGTGAATCTCAAGTCACTCATGATCAAAGTCCCAATGACTGTTGCGTTATCTACAAAGAACTTATAGGGGAGTCTTGGCCCAGGTTCTAAAATAAATATACCTATAATTAAAAGTAGAAAAAATGAGCTCCTAATTGTCTGCTTCGAAAAAGGGTCTAATCTATACAGGATTAAGATTAAACTAGTTTATCACCTTTGAGATTACAGTTGATGTATATTGACAGGGACAGGGACATTCCTACTGCTGCAGCCTATCTTGTACCTATTCTTTGAAAAAATAAATGATCTCATTCTCTGAGGTTATTCATTCACAAATCAAATATAAATTCAGTTCTGGTTGTAAGGTAACTAGCACAATTAAAGGTTCTAATGCTTATTACATTTCTATTCTTATATTTTGTGTGTACTTATACAAAAGTCAAGGTCAATATTCAGTCTATTTTGCTATTGAACTTGGTCACAAATTTTTTCAATAATGTGTATTTTAAGAGTTTTGCTTAGGCTTTGGCAATACACCATTGTAACTTGCTAACATGTAGCCAGATGGGCATGCTGGGTATTTGATACTTATCAGGCAGTGTACTTGCATCTAGATGATTACTTACCTCATCTGCAAGCACTGAGTATTCTCTTGCCAGTTTGATGAGGGTGAAATCGCAGAAGTCTTAAGATTTAGTGTAAATTGTATATATCATTTGTCAAATAAGCCGCAGACTCTAATGATGAGCAGCAAAAAAATAAAATAAATAAAATGCTTACATTCTAACTAGAGATGAGCAAACATAGGGATGATGTTGACTTGGGAAAAAAGCATGGGTTGAAGTCTTGTTTTAGATACCCATCTCATTTTTACCTTAAGTCCCACCACATGGAAGAAGAAGGTTATTAAATAAGTGGTTCTAGTTTGGAACTTTTCTGTGTCTAATATAACATAGAGACATTTGCACCCCCTTTGATTCTGGCTTCATCCAAACTTTAAAACCAACTGCCTGGGAGAAGCAATGGCCTTTGTATTGAGGCATCCCCGAGGGAGCCAATTTATGATTCATTATAATCTACCCCCTCTATTAGCTGCTCCTGGGCTGGCAGGGAACAGATGGGGGGACTGGTCAGGGAGGAGGAATTTGCCAACTGCCACTGTTGCTGCTGTCCCCATCTGATCATGGCTCCTTGCGCAGTCTGGCTGGAGCAGGGCAAGAGTGGCTCTGGAGCTCTCCCTGCTGCTGGGTCTGCTGGAGACAGTGGGGGCAGTGGCAGCAGGGGGTAAGGAAAGCAGGAGTGGGAGAGGAGGGGATATGCCACTGAGCATGGAGAGGAGGGGGCAGTACCAAGAGTAACGGGAGGTTTCTTTATCTAACTAGGGGACTTTAAAAACTCCTCAGCTGCTACTCAAATGGCATGGTCTGCCCATCCCAGTAGGTAGGCAAGAGAAGCTGGAAACACCCACCTTTGCAGTGCCAATCACTGCTTCCATGCCTCCTTTTACAAAATCCTGGATCCACCCATGGCTGTGCCTGCTGTTATTCTACATTATCATTCTTATTCTGATATTCTCACTGATGCTCTGAGTGTAGCTGTAGCTGCAGTGATACAAGAATCAGTTGCCTGGCAATCTGAGAAGTGCCCCTCCATCAGACTCTCTTGAATACTCCAGCACCAACATTTCCTTTTTAGACACTATGATCAATATCCAGAATGGTAAAATACAAACCACCATATCCAAGAAACCCATGAACCAACATACGTATATACACAGAACCAGAAATCACCCTAAGCACACCAAGAAATCTCTAATATACAGCCAAGCCCTCTAATACCATCAAATCAGCACTGAGAAGAACATCTGCGATCATCACCTTGCAAATCTCAAAAGGACTTTCACCCATAAGGACACTCCTCCAGAGAGATGGATTGCTTTTGAAAAAGCCAGTCGGATACCACGTGAAGAATTGCTGCAACACAAAATGAAAATCCCCACGAATCGCACACCATTAGTTATGACATACCATCCTTCCCTGGAACCTATATGGAAAATTCTCAAACAATTGCAACCCATACTAGAAGACCCAATTCTTAAAGAGATCTTTCCAGAACCACCCATTTAGCTTTAGCACCTCACCAACCTTATTACCAGAAGCAAACTTCCAATGGCCCAGAGCACACCGAATGGATCCAGACCATGCCAGGACAAGAAATGTAAATCCTGTCAACACCTCTCCAGTACTGCCATGATAACTACACCCTAGAACAAAACCATCACCATTCCTGTATCTTACACATTCACCTCCAGAAATGTAATACATCTCATCCAGTGCACTAAATGCCCTGATGGAAAAGATGTAGGACAAACCAAACAAAAACGACAAACCACAATGAACACAGACTGAAAATCTATCAAAGACAAAAATACCCAGTTACCCCTTGGGTTCACATTTCTCACAAGACAACCACTCTCTCTCCAATCTCTCAGTTCTAATCCTCAAACAGAATTTATAAAAAAATGTTTTGTAGACAAGCCTATGAACTTCACTTCATAAAT